TGCCCCCATTGTAAAGACTTTGCCGTAGATTCACTTTGCCAGTATTCATGTCTCTTGATATTCTGCTCATTTATTATTGAAGTCAAACATTTCTCTAATTAGATATTTACTTGTGAACTTAAGTGCTGCAGAGATTTCATTCGACCTCACCTCTCCTCCATTCCCTCCCACTGCCTGGGCATTGGAGATAAAACATCTTGCCTGTGCAAGTCAGGCAGCTGGGTTGAAGACCCAGTGACACTGCAGAGGACAAGCCAAGCCCTGCTTGTCTTTTGCTGTGAGGAGAGTGCCTGCCCTGCCTGCTCACCAGGGGACTGACACTGCCTGGGGACACCCACTCAGCCACTGCAGGTCCAGCCTGCCAAGCCTGGCTGCTGAAACCACCCCCCAGCTCCCTGTAGCGCTGAGACCCCTGCCCCTTCCAGCTCCTATCAGACCACAACCCTGTATGCCCTGAGGGGCTTGAGGAGAGCAAAGGAAATTTATGGCTCCTCTGGTTTTAATGCACGGAGTGGATGTTTATAGATGGAAGATGTGTGCTTCTGTGTGCCAATCCTCTGTCCTCCCCTCAGATCAGCTCACACAGAGGAGGGCAACAGTCCCTTACTCTGTTTTTTTTTTAAGAATTTAAATGCTTTGGTTTCTGAAAACAAACGTTTAAAATCCATTTCCATTAAAATTTCCAAAATAGGTGCCTGATATCTGGCACCTTAATCCATGTCTTGGTGTGTAAGGAAAGGAGAGTGTGGTAAGTCACCTGCAGTGACCTAAGGCACAGTCAGGTCCCCTCTCTGGACCACAGACAAAAAATATGCATACATTTGAGAAGAGAATCCCAACCCATGGTGCAGAATTAATATTGTATTATGGAAAAATAGAAATAATTGCATTGCAACTGATCTGAAGATTCATGGCAATGGCACGCACTGTAAATATACAGCACTGCAGGATAATTATCTGGTGCTCAACTCTCTTCAAACTAGACCCCTGTTAACCTTGTCCTTACCTCTCTCAGAATTAAAATCCTAAGGTAATTCATCACAGAATTTCTTGGTACCTTCAAGTATAATTGCTAAGAAGTTTTCAAGCACATACAATTACCACACCCAATTAATCTTATCATGAGTCTTAAAGCCAGGTTGTTAAATGGGCCTTAGCTCTAAATAAACTCTTGTCTGTGTATATATATAAAGATAGATAGATAGATAGATAGATAGATAGATAGACAGATAGATAGATAGATAGATATGTGCACGTGTGTGAGCCTGTATTGGAAAGAAGGAGAGCAGCTCTCAGAAATGCATCTTTCTGTGTCACCTGCTGTGTTCTCTAATTAGGCATTTGTAGAAATATTACCCTGGCTACTGCATACTCCCTAAATTCACATACGTGATCACCACTATCCAGATCTTTGTAACTATTTAAAGTGAAGTTTTTCACAGAAAACCAATTGTACAAACAACACCATATTGCACGGTGTTTATTTTCTTTCACGGGCTTCCAGAGCAAATGTTCTTCAGCTCCAAACAAGAGGAGAAGCTCGCTTTCTTTTTTTGTCTGTGCTGCAAAATCAACCTGAGATATGAAACCTCAGCTTTTTTCTCCTCCTGGCTTTTATACTCCTCTCAGTGAAGGGAAACAAGGATTAGAAGAGTCTGCCCTGAAAAAATAAGCAAATTAATTTAGCCACTTTCTGATTCAACCTGGCACTCCTGAACATCAGTAATAAAGAAGCATAAAGGCTCATTCCTTCAGTGTGTGTGGGAAATGGGAGGGTTTGGTCCTTCCAAGGGAGGGTACAAAACACATTGCTGGCTTTGTAAGCTGCTTGAGGATAACATGCAGCATGCAGCTCATAAATAAAAAAGAATTTTGCCACAAAGGTCTGTATCTGCCCACTGGTAGGTTCCGGCACAGGCATTAAGCACCCGAGGCCTGTTGTGCTTGAGGAAGGTGTTAGAATAATATGATGGGTAACTGGAGTCATCCAAGGTGACAAAAATTCCAGCCCAACAATTTGCCATAGCTATAATCTGAAGACATTTCCTTTGAACTGAAGGCCCCCAGGGACAGCGACCCAAACACTCATTTAAGAAACCTCAAAGCAAGAGGAGTGGAAGCAGCCTGCGGTCTTCCAAACTGAGCACATCCTTCAGGCTTTAAATGTATTTTACAGAAATTATTAAAAATAACTTGTTATGGACAGGGAGCAAGATTCATGGTATGAAATTTGAGAAAAAAACATATAAAAACTTCTAGAAAGAGAAAGATACTTTCCTCTCCTCCACTCTGCAGCTTTGCCTTTACACACAAGGTTGAATCTGCAATTTCCTGCTGTTTCTCCTTTCTTCTGATAAATATTTTTAAAGAGAAGTGCCAGGAACATTGCCAGCCAGGCAAGTGTACTGCGAGGCGTTATTTGTAGTGCTCCTCCCCAGCCCCTGCAGGCAGCTGTGTCCCCTGCCCTCCCTCCCCTGCAGGGCTTGTACCTGACTAATACCTGTCCTTGGATGTTGCTGCTCTTGGTGCCTGCTGTGCCTGACATCAGGGCTCCCTGTCCCATCTCTGGGACAACCCTGTTGTCCTCTCTGCACAGGGATAAAGCCTGATCTTCCCTTCAATCTGTGTCTCTCTCTGGATAAACATTGCTGAAAGCTCTGGGTGAGCAACTCCTTCCCAGCCGGAGGAACGGATGCAGCCCTGGGACCAGAATGCTGCGAACAGCAGGAAATGTGGACATGTTAATGGGAAATAACCATGGCACTGAGCCACTTTGGACCCTTCTCTGATTCCTCTCTAAGTTACAGCAAATTCAGCTGGTTCTCAGAGCTAGGCTTTATCTCCCCTTTGGGAGGTTTCTGGGTCAGCTGTATTAAAATGCATTTATTCTTAAGGGGGTCAGTAATCTGACACAACAGTGATGTACGAGTGAATGGGGAGAATACATAAATTTCTAACAGTGCAGAAAGAAGAATCCCGGAGTTTTGCTATCTGTAAAAATGGAGCATGGGATCTGTCACTTCATGTCACGACAGCCAAATTAAACAAATGCAAGATGACAGGAGGAAAAGAAACAAAGGACTTCTATCCAATTACTTCCAGAAGCATATTAAATTATGGGGGCACTTGCTTTTGTGCTAGCAAATAAGTATTTAAATGGACTTAAAATTCTTCATATTCTGAAACTTGGGTTTATCTGCATAGGAGAAATGGATGCTGTGGACACTTGTTCCCGAAAGGGAAATGGAAGACAGAGAGCACCTTTGCCAGAGGTTGTAGGTTGCCATGGGGTGGGTTCCATGGTCAGGAACAGTGTTGAAAGGAGCGGTAGGGGCTGTGAAAACACCCGGGCATCTAGTTTTGGATGCCTCCATCACCACTGCTGAAGCCTTGAGATGAAGATACCAAAGCAGTAGCTCAAGCTTTCATTTCACAGCAAGGGACAGACACAGAAACGTGTGCCACATTTAGGTCATTTGAAAGTCCAGCCTGACTAGGAAAAGGTGAGCGTGGACCTGCCACTCTGAGATGATCTCAAGATCAAAGTGATCTTTTTGACCAAGTCTGTGAAAGCTGGACTTGGTCAATGCAAACATTCCTCATCAGAAATGCGGTTTGGAAAGACAAATCCTGGCAACCTCTGGCCTGTCTGACGTGCTGCACTCTGGCAGTGGTCAGAGCAGGCTGCAGCAGGGCTGTAATGTGTCACGGTGAAACGGGAGCGTGAGTCAAAGACACTTTCCCCTGGGTGCACACAAGGAAGAGGAAGGTGAAAGTGTCAGGAAACATCAGGACACTGATGAGAGAGAGAAAGCAGACACTGAAGGACAGCTGTGAGCAGTGACAGACCATGATTAGGTGCTTTCCCAGAGTGCAGGTAGCCACCCCCTGCCACAGCCTGGGTACCTGCCTGAGTAACCCATGAAGGATCCAGCAGGAGATGGCCCCAGCCTGGCTTGCTTGGACAAGCCTTGGGAGCCCCAGGGGAAAGGTACCTGGCACCCAGGGGGTCCATGCCAGGACAGGAATGCAATCCCAGCGAGGTGAGGAGAGGTGCATTCCTGAGGGAGCAGGATGGCACTGCCACACCTTTTGGGCCATCTCCATCTCCCCCAGCATTAAACAAGGAAAGCAAAAATGAGAGCCGAGAAGGGTGGAGTGGGTGGATCAAAGCCCCAAATCCCACCCACCTCTGGGCCATCCTGGCCAATTCTTCTCCAGCTGTTTTGCAGGTGGTGCAGGTGCACTAGTGGGTCCCAAGCAAAGGGAATTCACTCTTGGCCAATGTCTCCCATGCAGGAAATGGGCAGAAGGGCAAGAAACAGCATCAACTCTTCTCTGGAGGAGCAGGGAGGGCAGCAGGTGAAGAATGTCAGGGCAGAACACCTGCATCAGACCTCTGCACAGCAGAAGCCTTGGCCAAATTCTAGGCCTATTTAGAAATTGTTCTGCCATGTTACTTCTACCTGTGCAAGGCCAGGAGGGTCCCTGTTTAAGGAAAATGGCAAAAATTCTCTTTGGATCACAAACTGGAATGACCAGACTCTTATATCGTTGAATATTGAGGGAGGGAGGCAGAGAGGGAGGCAAGAAGAAAAGAGAAGGCCAAATTCCTTTGTCACATACCCTGCTCTAAGTCCAGAGTAATTACATTAAATGTAATGAGCCTCCACACTTCCTTCCCCACTCCCACATGGGAACAGTCATTTGTTGCTGGCCAATTCCTGCAGCAGCCAATGTCCTTACCTACCGCATTGGCAGAAGTCTCCTGGCCAGAAAACCACAGAGAGGAGCAAAAGCTGCTGCCTTGCTTGCACTGCCTTCTCCTTCTCCTCTTCCTCTTTACCCAGAGGGAAAAGAAGCAATACCCCTCTATTAAGGCATCTAAACAGTAAACATTAATTTTGTCTACACCCAAGCTGTCTGTGACTCTCAGTGGTGCTGCCAGTCCCAGTTCCCACACTGGTTCACCACTCTGCACCATTTTCCTCTCCACCTACCTGAGGGAGGTTTTTCCTCAAAGAAACACAGGTCAGTAGTTCTTTCAGAGCAATGCCAGCAGGACTCCTGCAGGCTGGTGGTGGCCAGTTGCACTCATATCTCCAGAGCCACAGGCTGGGAAAGTGGGGAAACCATGGAAAGGTTTTGGCTAAAAGGAAGTGGTGAAGAGAAGAGGTGTAAGAACAGGGAACAGAACAGTCTGACCTTCCCAAGGCCAGGAGTACATGAGCAGTGCTTCAAGCAACATCCAGTTTCCTAGACCCCAGGTAAAGGTTCTCCTGTCAGTCCAGGTCACCCCACTGCAGCCCACACAGCAAGATGCTGGGCGCCCTGAAAGCATCCTGCCAGCCTGGCAAGTCTCCTCCAGGTGCAGACACAGAAGACCACGAGCAGCAGATAGAGGTGATTAATCTTCCCCCTTTGTGTGCCACAGGTCTGATCCCTGTGGGGCTGGTTGCCTGCAATCTTCATCACCCGGGGGTTTTATGGAGCTGCACCTCCCAGACAGGAAGTTTGCTCCAGGGAGCCGTGAAGCCACATATAATAACTGCACGTTGCTATCTATTATTAACTCAAGCACCTGGAGGAGGTGACAGCAAAGGCCTTATGGAGGTGATGAGTAGCTGTATTTAAGCCTATCAGTTTCACCAGAGGAAGTTTTGGGGTCTTGACATAAGAGCAAAGCTGCCTTCAGCACCTGAGCCTCCTCTCTGCTTTTCTTTCCCAAGCAGGCAAATATTTTCAGGCATGTAAATGAACTAACTCTTTTGTGCTCAGTCCCACTGTGCATTTAAAGCACCAGGGCTGGGATGCATCCGTGCTCAACACAAAGCAAGGGAAGGAAAGAGGTGAGATGCAATTCTACCCTCCCCCCACCAACAGCAGCATTTGAGAAGAAAATCCTCCAGAAAAAAAAAAAAAAAACAACCCATGCTCTGCTTTCTTCTGATGGTGCAGGCTGATTTGTGCTGTCTGTAATTGTAATCAAAGTTAATTTAATCCTGGTGTGGAGGTTGCTGAGCAACTGAAGACATTTATCCAGAAGAGACAGGGGCTGTAATCATGTCACCTCCAGTGAAGTTGGTAGGGCAGCCACATCACACTGATAATGCCCAGGGCACAGGGCTGTGGGTCACAGGAAGACACTTGGCATTCATGGTAGGCACAGAAGCCAAGGGAAAAGCACTAAGGTCACTCCAAAACTCTGCTTTCTTCCCTAATACAGACAGGTTGGATCAGATTTGGAATAAGGCCCCATATGGACACCACACATGAAGGCACAACTTCCCAGAGGATGAGCGGAGAGTGCCTGTCTGGCTTACAGACGTGGCTGTAAGCAGAAAGGTGCAATGCCAGCAGAGTGGTCAGTCAAGCCAGTCTGTGTCACAGATGTCCCCCTTATGCTGCCTTTCCTCAGAAATCCCATTTTCCCCCCAAGGAGCTCTAAGTCCTCTGTCTCAAAGCTGAAAGCACGGGGCTGTGCTGTCCCTGCCAGGCAGGATTCAAGGCTGAGCATCCAGCAGCCAGGCCCAGGGAAGGCATGGAGCTGGCTCCCTGCATCCAGCACTGGAGAAGGATGGGAAGCTCCAGCAGTGCCGGAGAAGCTCCTGTGAGCTCTGATGCTACGAGCCGGCCTGCAGGGCCCCTGCTGAGCCATCATCAGGGCCATTTGCCGGTGATGAGGAGATTTCCCGAGGCCGCCCCGGTGGGCACCCGCTGCTGCCGGGCCGGCCTGATTAAGTGCTTCAGCAGGGAAGGACGGCTCCTGCCATCAGCGCCTCAGCAATCAAGGAAGGGTTTTTTCCCCCGCCTCTGCTTTTTTCTTTTTTTTTTTTTTTCTTTCTAATTATTATTTTCTCCAGAACCAAAGAGCTTTCGTGAAATTTAAAGGCCTGTGGGTGCACCAAGGGCAGGAGGAGGGCGGGAGCCTGCCAGGGAAAAGGCCCAAAGCGTGGTGGGATCCCAAGCATGCCAAGTGCATCCTTACCCCAGCTGTTCCTCCTGTCACACCCTTTTACTTTGGGAAAGTAGGTACTGCAGAGCCACCAGAGTCCATCTCCTGCTGCACTGGCCAGGCTGTCTCTGAAACAGCAGTTGCAGGGGGAAAAGGCAATTATTTTGCTTTTTTAAAAGGCATGTTGGGTTTCTAGCTGAGAGGAAGAGCAGCTTGATGACTTAGGAGGAGATTGTGGCTTTTCAAAGCAGAACTGTGCTTCAAGATGTTGAAGTGACCAAAAACTTGGACATATGTCAGGAAAAAGACAATGCACTGAGCAGTAACATTGCTGCATGTCAGACCTTGAGAAACAGTGACAGCTCAAGCCAGCCAAAGCAGGAGAAAGGAGCAGGTAAAGCCTCATTTCAAGATTTCCCAAAGACAGGCTTTTCGAAACCAGAAAAGCCGTAGGAATTTATTTAGCCATTTAGTTTGTACTACAAAGTTTGCTACCTTTTCCATAATTTTGCTCTTTTTCATAGAATTCTTTAGGTTGGAAGAGGTGTTTAGGACCACTGAGTCCAACTCTTAACCAGACATTGCCAAGTCCATCACTAATCCATGTCCCTAAGTGCCACATCTGCACAGCTTTTAAATACCTCCAGGGATGGTGACTCAGCCACCTCCCTGGGCAGCCTGTTGCAAGACTTGACAACTCTTCTGGTGAAGAAATTTTTCCTCACCGTCGAATGTAAACCCTCTGTGGTGCAACTTGAGGCCATTTCCTCTTGTCCTGTCCCTTGTTACCTGAGAGAAGAGACTGACATCCCCCTCATCACAGCCTCTTCTTAGGTAGTTCTGTGTTCTGCCCAGAATGGGCAAGATTGGGTCATTTGTTTTCAATGCATAATAGCCATCTCCTTCATCTCACACCTTTCAGGCAGTAAATGTTGTAAGTGCATGACATCCTGGGTATTTACCTGCCCACCACCCACTCCAGCACCCTCCAAAATGTGCCCATTCCAGGTGGATGTGGCTCTTCCTCACAGGGGGAGGCTGTGCTTCTGCTTGCCAGCCAGGGGTGTTTGCCACTGCCCATTTGCTTTGCTTCAAGCACGTGGTGGTGACAGCAGCACTGAGAGTTTGCCCTGCCCAAAAAGCTTCAGAGTTCTGTGCCAAGCAAGCCAGGAGAAATGCACCAGCCCTGTGCTGGGCTCAGGGCACATAGAGCTCCTCCTCAGGAAACCCTAAACAAGAGAGAGAAGGGTAAGGCAGTGCTGAGATGTGGTTGTCAAAAAAAAAAAGGAAGGTGAGCAAAAACATAGATTAAAAAAAAAAATCCTGAGCAATTTTCTTCTGGGAAGATTAAGATGCAATTTTGATTAAATCCCATACCTCTTGGGTTGTCCAGGCTTTAGTTTTACACACCACTTCAGGTCAGTCCCGGTGCCAATGTTTCCAAATATGAGACCTTTTGGTGCAGTTCCTTAAAGGAAGTGGAGAGATGAAAATATGCAATGCATTTAATGAAATCCCACCATGGAAGCAAAAATAACCATTGATGCACAACCCTGCACAAGACAGTTTTCCATTTTCTCCAGGGGAGAACCCCTCTGAAGCCCCACCAGCTTTTTGCAGTGTTTTTTGGCAGATGGTGATCCAGCAAGGCTCCACTCCTAATCCATTCCTGGGGGTTTGAGGTCTTGCGCAGGCCCTACCTGTGCCTCATGGGGAAAGTTTTCCCAAGGAGACTGAGAATGCAAGACCTGCAGGGATTTCACCCAGGCACCAAGTTGGGTATCACAGTCTAACCGTGTGGTACATCCTAGATCTCTTCAGCACCATGCTGCTCAAAAGGGAGAGAAGTCCCCAGGCTTTCAAGTTTACAATTATTCCTATGTTACAAGCTTTCTTTTTTCTTTTTTCTTTTCTTTTTTTTCTTTTTTCTTTTTTTTTTTTTTTTATGATAAAGGAAATATTAATTTCATGCTTGGCTTGGTTCTCGAGCAGGAGCATTCTCCCTTCTGCACTTTTTTTCTCCACATCAGGAGCTGCTGAGCCCTTTCCTCTCCCTGGGGCCGTGGGGATGGGCTGCAACAGAAGGTTTTTATGCCATGTGGCTGTTTAGCACTAGCATGGAGGCAGCAACCCACCTCCACCTCCAAACCTGACCCCTTGTGCTGACTGGTGACATCCCCGTGCTGGAGCCACACCACTGTGTAAAATGTCAGGGGAAATGCAGCATGCCTCAGCTTTGCTTTAAACCATGTTTCCTGTGATAGAATCCAAAGGGTTATTTGATCGTGCTAGAACCTGTTTACATTATTTTCTGGGTTTTTTTCCTGAATAATTGCCTCAAAAATCTTCAAACTTACAGAGCCTTGGATGGTCCATTTGCAAAAATAAATCTATGTTGTATGCATGCCAAGAAAAATAGAAAATTTATCTCTTTCTTAGTTTTTCTAAGTGGCGTTTGTTCCCAACACCTTTAAAGCCCTCTGGTTTTCTGAAATTTCTTTCTTTAAGTCAGTTTGTACAGAGAAAGCAAATGCAGAAGCAGCAGTTTCAGGAGCTGGCAGGGCTACTGAAGATTTATGCTGACATATACACTGTGCCTATGGCTGAATTAATAGTGCCGCCAAAGCATTTGTATTTTCTGGGTTTTTTCACTCTGACATTAGAAATGGAAGCACAGCCACACCTGCACACAGGGAGTGTGGATAGAATGTATATGGAATTCATCTGCAATTCTTCCTTATTCTCTAAATTAGACCTTTGTTGAGGTTGCAGATCCAGAAGTATCATCAACTCCCCTTTTTCTCTCCTACATAGGTGAGGATTTGTCTTACTGTGGAACTGGTCTTCAGACCAGTTTTAAACCAAGATATTTTCTTATTTCTTCAGTAAAGTTTATCTTCACTCATCTCAATATATCTGACAGGAGAATCTAGCCCAGACTGAGGAATTTCATTTTTCTCCTAAATATTTTATTGCTTTTTATTTTAATAAAAACTGAACTAGAAATATTTTCTTCCACTGAAAAATATTGAAAAACAATTTTCTTCTTTCACCTCCAGAATTCAGTGTATTTTGGAGTCAGAATTCACCTTCCCACACAGCAACGTGAAGCACTTGGAGATGTCAAGCAGTCTATTCATTGCTCAGATTGTATTTTGATGCTGCTCAGAGTTCCCAGGTAAGAAAATACATTCAATCATTTATAGCTGTGAACCAGAGCAAAAGACCAGTGCCTTAAAGGGAAAAGAGGGAAGGAAAGAAGAGATGTAGGTTGTTAAGTGAAGGTGGAGAGCAAAACAGATGAAATTGATAAAGTGGAAAGCTATATTATTCACTCCAAGGCTCCATTTAGTCCCTCTGGCCTGGTAGTTTCAGCAAAGTGAAACTCTTGCTGGAATCAATACTGCTATCATTTCACAAAATTACAGTGGTTTGAACAGAAAACTTGTTATAAATCAACTTCGTGCATGGACAGCTGGAGGAAATATTTCTTGCTTTGAAGATTTGGGTACTTCAAAACTAGTAAAGAGGATCTTGGCTCTCCAAGAATCTGCATTTACTTTACATTTCTTGGAAATAGAAGCTGCTGTTGCATATTCAAACAAGTCAAAATAGCAATGTGAAAAAAGGCAGTGCCTTCATTTTAATCAGATGAGAAAACAGTGTGCTTGATTTCAGTGAAACTTGGGCATTTTGGAGATGGTCCCATTCTCTGACACTCACTAGAAGTTCCTTCAGACTGGGCTAAGAATGTGTCCTCGTTGCTTCTTTTTCATATGCCTAGGCTAGATCCCATAGGTTTTGAGGGACTTTTGCACCTCACCACTTTCAGCTTAATGACTCGATAGACATATGGATAGAGCCTTTCAAGTCTTTGTCACAGGAAGATGTCCAGCCGTCAGCTTCCAGTAAAAGGGACTGGACTTGGAGATTGACCTTGTCTTCAGTGTTTTAGGAACATATACTTGAAGATCCTTCAAAGAAAAGCATGAAAAGCACAGCTGATGCCCATCTCAGGAAGGTCTCACTACATTCTTCTGTGTTTTCTTTAATCATTCTGAAATTCAATGTTTTCTGTAGTTCTTTTTTTTTCCAATAAAGCTATGTCAGATGGCAAGAAATTATCTGTGTAGGTGCTGGAAGCTTCAGAAATATAGTGCACAGCAGGAAAGAAGTAGGGAAAGAATGTCACCGCATCTAATTCCTTGGTCTGGACAGAATAAACATCAGCCACAGCTCCCAGACCATTGACTGGCCAATGCACTAAGCCTGAGGGACTCTTAGTCATCCCTGTTACGGCTGGAACCCCTTTCCTCTTTTCCCATGAGGCAGAAAGGGGCCGGAGCTGGGGCTGGAGCAGAGCTGGGAAGGGTGCTGGAATGAGGCAGCCTTGCTTGTGAAACCACCCCAAAGCCTGAAAACATCCCAGGTTTCTAAACTACAGCTTCTATCAGAGCTCTGTACGGAAGTGACAGACCTTTGGATGTGGTTGTCTTTGCTCTGCCCAGCTTGCAGTGACAAAGCCAGTCCACTCTGTCCTGACTGGGTGCTGCCAAATTGAAGAGGTGGAGATATAGCATTTGCTAATTTGGGATTGCATCTGAGGTAACTCTCTGCTTGTTTTGCCTTTAAGGTGCTTGTGAAACACACATTTGTGCAATATCTAAGCATCATACAGCTGCAATTATTTCTATTGGTTCCCCCCATGTCTTGCATTTAGTGCACTGGAATTTTCTCTTAATTTTGTCAGATATTTCTGGAAATTGCTTAGCTAAATTTGAATTCATTAAAGACAGCAATCATCATTATTTGATAAATAGCATCATTAAATCCATTACACAATAAAATATTGCAAATAAGAGTACAAGTAAATATTTTCAAGAGTATTCACACTGTATTTCCTCTCCTGGCATTCTGAAAAGCTCTTTTATTGTCTCACAACAGAATTGCCAAGTAGCTACAAATACTCATGCATCATCTGCAAGCAAGGGAGAAAGAAGTCTGCTGTTCAATAAAATTTGATTCATCCAATCAGGGAAGGGAGGGAGAAACGTATGATGTGGAGAGCCAATTGGGTAGCATGTGCTCAGATGATTAACACCAGCCAATTTGTTAACGAGACACAAATAATAATCTGTAATCAAAAATAATTCAAAGTGACTGAGGTGAATAAACACACTTACTTGAACCGTGACCTGTTCTTTACTTCATTGGCACGAAAAGAATGGGCTGAGGGTATTGAGCGAAGGACTCAGTCAGCTCGGTTTCCAGATATTTAGAAATTTGGAGAATGGCTGGGAAGTGCCCCAGGAGAGGCAGGGTGACTCTGGGCAAGGAGGGGAAGAGCACCTGCCTGAGAGTCTTGGGGTCATATGGAGAGGACCTCATGGGACCCCACTGAGGTTGGTCCTCACCTCCAGAGTGCTCTTTACTGCCAGCTCCCCACTGCCCCTCTGAAAAGCAAGCAGAGAACAGGAGGGGTTCAGAGAACAGCAAGCAGAGCCCAAAGAGGGCTCAAGGGCAGCAGTGGTTCCATGGCCCTTGTCCAGCTGCCTGTTTGTGGTGCCCCATACTCCATGTGCTCTGCTGCTGCTGCCCCAGGGGCAGGCACCCACCTGTAGGGACATCCAGCTGCCTGCAAAGAGGGGTGGGAAGGTAGTGACAGGATTTTATAGCTTATTTCAGCCAAACAGACACACTTTGGAGCTGAGGCACTAGTAACAGTGAGCAGCCAGGACACTTCCCTAACGCTTAACAAGTCAGGCTTCATGGCGCTGGAACCAAGTCAAGGAGGCAGGAACCATTTAATTAGACCAAAGCAACTGACAGCCATTGTGCAGTAAATCTTCCCTTGCTGCCTTTGAGGTCTCTGGTCCTCTGTGTCTTAATAGTAAATGATATCTCAGTGGTGGGAGAGAAGGGAGCAAACATGCCTCTGCCTGTTGCTCTGACGGAGCAGGACAGCAGGACTTGCAAGGGATCAGCTCATAGGCCAGGGTAACAACAGGGGGCTTCTGCCCAGCTTTCCTGGGTAGCTATAAGATGATGCTCACAATAAAAAGAGTCAATTACAGACTCAGCTCTGGTTTTGTGCATGAGGAGGAGGGAAAACACCTCTGCCAAAATGTTTGCAAACCTCTCTGCTGACCTGAACCAGTCCTTTCCATAGGCTGCTCCATCAGCACCAGTGCTGGCACCAAGCTGAAAGAGAAAAATTGTATTTGGGTAATAGTGGCAGTCTGAAAAAGCATTGGTATCTGGCCTGACAGTCATGTGACATTTCTTTTCCCAGTCTATTTCCTCTGTGCCTGACAAAGAAATTAGGATACAAGTGTGCTGATGAAATTTGATGAATACTGATGTAAGGACTATTCTCCCCTACCATACTTCATCTGAGGTATATTAAAGCAAATGTGTTAACCTAATTGCTTAAACAGTGAGCAATGGGCATTAATTACTTGCAAATGGCAATAAAATTGTGCCAACTGTAAGCCAGGAGTGGATCAGAGCTAATAGCCTCATAGGAAACAGAAAGGACTGACATCTCCAATAAACAGATCCCTGACTTGTCTTCTCTTCAGCAGCCAGCAGCTGCTCATTCCTTCAGATCCCATGTCCTATCTTCTTGCTGGGAGGCGGAGCAATTGTTAAATATTCACCAGTCTAACACTGCAGACTGAAGCTCTCCTCAAAAAGCAGCCCCACATCTCACTCCTGGCCACTGCAGAGTGTCCTGGTTTCTCTTGGCACTCGTGTTTCCTGCGTTCCCGGCAGCAGAAGGCTCCACCTCAGCGTCATTTCCACCCGCTCGCTCCTTTCCATGCCATGCAAGGACCATGTGAGCATTTGATGGTTGCTCACTTTCCTTCCAGATCTCTTTCCATCCTTTAGGGGCATTTTCCTTCATTGATTCCCCTGAGTCCATATCTCCCCATGGTTGATAGCTGTGTAGATATCCTCTTGGGGTTGTCACTGTGTGAATCATCTCCTGGCTGTCTCCCATCTGCCTTCTGGGGAAGCCTTGAGTGCTGAGCTGGGTAAGGCACCATCTTTTAGCAGTATTTGGGACCAATCAGCCTCCCCCTTCTTGCCTGCTGACCAACTCCCATCTCTAGGTCAGCTTCACTGAAATTTTTATTTCGAGATCAGGCACTGACTTCACAGGATATGTAAGGGCATTTCAAGATCTGGACTCTCTCCTGCCTTCCTTTTTTCTTATTCCTGATGTGACATTTTATGACAGCACCCAGACCGTGCTCAGGACACTGTGGTCCACAGAGGTCCAACCCTGGAAGGTTCCGCCTTCCCCACCCCAAATCACCGATGCTGCAAACCACTGGCAAGGCAGTGAGCTGCAGTGGTGCCATTCCACTGCTCAAGAGATGCCCCACTGTGAGGCTGCAGGCATGCATGGCTCTGGTGCTCTTGTTCCTGTCCTGCTTCTCCCACCATGTGGCATTTCCACCCATACATTATGGTGATGCAACCAAGCCACTAAACCTTTTGTTGGGGAAATTTTTTTGAGTCTCCTTCCGCAGGCCAGCACTCTTCCCACACACACTTCATTTCTGCTCAGCTCCTAAAGTCATTCTCCTGAATTTTAGGATCTCATGAGAGCTTATACCAACTGAGGACAGAAGGTATCTGCTCATCACCCACTGCCATGGCTGCTGGCATTCACCTACCCTTCAGCTCCTTCCCACAGTATCCTTCAGGCCCACAGAGCTTTCCAAGGGCTCCTCCCACCCTGCTGCCCTCAAAGCCCCTCTGTCCCAGCCTTGGCCCCTTCCCTGCACCTCACCACCCTTCCCCACACCTCTGAGTCACACTCACTCCCACTCCAGTGCTGACCCATCCAGATATCGAGAATTTTTCTGCAAGTCACTGAGTCACCATTTAAATCTGATATTAAATTTTCCTTTCAACCTTTAGCCAGTGCATTCCTTATTTCATAAAGCCTTCAGTAGAGACAGTGCATTCAGGCATATATATATATATATATATATATATATATATGTATATGAAGGAGGGGTGCAATGTTGCAATGCATAAACCATCACCTCTTGCCATGTCTCACTGCATTTTTTCCTGCTTTTTTCACTGGTGGCCTTATATAAAATGATTTGCAATCACCATGTGGATTAAATTATAACCTTTCAAGGCAACCTTGCTGAGAAGGGTGCAGAAAGATCAAGCCCTAGGCCTTGTAATGGTCCCTTTTTGAATTCCTGAAGTAATATGTGCCTAATGCCACTACACCAAATCGTGCAGAGGACATTACTCTAGTACCTGGCTGGAGGCACATGGGGAATTAGGAAAACCTGCCTTGTCTACTGTTGGAAAAACATAGCCTGAGCACTTACCTTGCCTGGGACTTTGGGTACACCTGGCTGGCTGAAGTTAGCCCAGTCCTTAAGCTGCAGTGTTATGAAAAAAACAAAAAGTATTTCAGGAAGGCAGGGAAATGGGGTGGAGGCAGCCAGGGGAAGGGCTGCCAAGATCTGGACCATTAAATGTGGTAGAGCAGCAACAATGGGGGCAATAGGAGTGTGCAAAGGGTAAGGCATGGGGACTTAGAGACTCCTTATGGGGTGATGCCTGCTGCTCCCCCGTAACTTTTTCCCATTTCCCTGCCATAAGACATGGCAAAGCCCTAGAAGCAACTAAACAGCCCAGGACTGAGACCAGCTGTGTGGTGCAGGCAGATTTTCTGGCGTGACCACTATTTGGCCCAGCCTTTCATTAAAATATCTTAAGTAAGGCAGTGGTGAGGGTGGCCTGCTGGTAAAATCATGACTAAAGACTTTGCATCAAACTCATCAGAGAGAAAGTTTCTTTTCAACTGTTTCCTTCAGCTCCCCTCACACAGACACTTTACAGTAACAAATTGTTTTTCCTGAAAATGTCTACACACAGCCAGGCTGCAAGTGCAGATGGACATCTTGCAGAGAAAGGCAGGGCTCTGCTAGGTCTGACCCAGCCAGGAGGCCACACCACAGCATCTTGGGTGGCTTCAGCCTTCCCATGTTATCAGGATTTAATAGCCCAATAATCACAGGGGGCTGGCCAGACCACAGCACTGGCAAACGGCATCAGCATTTCCCAGAGGTACAGGAGAAGATTGTCCAAGGAATTTCCCAACAGACAAGACATTTTGAGATGAATTTGGGAGGCAATGATCATGATTTCCAGACCTATTTTCTTTCAGGGTCAAGGAGGGAAACCTCCAGGTTTTCTCCCGGCTGTCCACTCCCCACTTAGCCCTCTGAAGGCTCAGATATCTGCAGTTACTAATTTTTCCCGATGTGAGGGCATAAGGCATCCACATTTTGCCATGAAGAACTACATAGTTAAAGCATGGCTGCTGCAAGCATGAATTTTTATTTTTGGTGCTTACTCTCCCTAGGGGACCCGCAAGCCTCCCTCACTGTGGTACAGAAGGCGGTAAACAAGCAGGGAAAGCCTAAGCAAGCAGGTGTCCTTCTCTTGTCTGCTGATTTGAAATAGTATAGACAGCACTGGCATGTATCTGAAGCACAGTCATTATATTTCCATAACTTTATCTGCAGAGGACATAGGAGTTACAATGCAATCAGTGCTATACAGTTTAAAGTGTAGCTGAGATGTATTATAAAGTCAGCTGCAGCAAAGAACATATGGTACAGCTTGCCACCCCACTATAGTATTTCTTCAAAAGACATTTTTCTTACAAAAACGAAGACATTATCAGTCAAATTATAAGTAACCCATTTCCATTTATAGCATACAGTCTACCCTCTGAGTCACACACATGATCAGCAATAGCAGCTGTGAGACTTCTAAAAGTTTGGTTGGGTTTTTTTTTCCCTTTTATTTTTATACTCTTGATTCTGAAAATGTTTCTGCTTGAGTGGTGAAGTCTTCCCTCACTTCCATTGTGAAAGCCAAGCATTGCCATGGCTGTCCCTTGCCTTGCTCAGAGAGCACATGTGGCCCTGCTGCTCACAGTGCTTGGTGCTTCCAGCCATGGGGACGTGCCTAAATTGGGGCACAGAGCAGTTACCCTGCTACCTAGTGCAACTCAGGGATCTTTCTGCTGTGGCTGGGTGGATTTAGCACAAAATCCTGTCAGAGATTGGGGGGAAATTGCCTGAAACCACATATTATTTACCACTGGGTTATGGTTTTACCCCCGGCCAGCATCTGAGCACCACACAGACATTCACTCCCTACCAGCAGGGTTAGGCAAAGAATTGGAAAGAAAAGGAAAACCTTGTGAGCTGAGATAAAGCCAGTTTAATAGGTAAAGAAAAAGTAAAGCAAAACAAAGAACTAGTTCACTGCTTCCCATGGGCAGGCAGGTGTTCAGCCAACTCCAGGAAAACAGGTTTCCATCACATCTGACAGTGAGTTGGGGAGACAAATGCCATCATTCCAAACATGCTCCCTTTCCTTCTTCTTCCCCTCCTTTATTTGCTGAGCATTACTCCATATGGTATGGAATATCCTTTTGGTCAGTGTGGGTCAGCTATCCCAGCTGTGCTCCCTCCCAGGTTCTTATGCACTTCCAGCCCACTCACTGGTGTGAGAAGCAGAAAGGCCTTGACTCTGTGCAAGCACTGCTCAGCAATAACAAAAACATCCCTGAATTATCCACTCTGTGTTCAGCACACATCCAAAACAGCCCCATAGCACCTATTGTGAAGAAAATTAGCTATACCCCAACCAAAACCAGCACAGCCTGTTACTAAATCCTTCCTACTACTGTTTGCATCACCTGCAAGAACAAAGTCTCCCTTTTCTCTAAGGTGCAGAAGTGCTCTTTGTCATACTTAGCAAGACTTTGGCACCTCTTGATATAGAATTGCTTTCATTCATAGCATGTTTGGTGTTTGCTCTTAATTCAATGAGAGCCGCTCTTCCAATTTAGAAGCCACTCTTAGGGATTTCCCAGCAAAGAAAGAAGGTCAGGGTAATTTCCTGGGGGAAGGAGGGCAAGAGGAAGGTCAGAAAATTATTTAACAAAATAAATACCACACTGAATTATCAGGAAAGTATTGAAGTGGAGCAGATGGGTTGTGTTTGCAAGCTCATTTGCATTATGAATACTTTGGCATCTCCCAGATTTTACATAAGCCTCCTCCTTAATATTTTGTTACTTTACAATCATCTGTGTGCTCCCTTACTCACAGACACGCTTTTCAAAGAGACTGAATTCAGAACTAGTAAAAGATGATGGAGCTACAGTAAAGAAAGATTGTATGTTTTAGGGTCGGAAGTCAGGGTCTGTGACTGTCTATGTGGCCCTAGAGCCATATCCTGCAGGGTCTATTAATGAGGGAACTTCTATACAAAACTTTCTTAAACCAGGAAAACTAGGACCTGAAACTTCAGTCCCACCTCATTTGAAGGAGGGGGGGTGGTCTCTATTGTTTCCGCTGAAAAAAACCAGCAGTATTTCCTGTTTAAGATGTTGAAATTAAATTTGGCAAAAAGAAAAGTGTTATGGAGTCTGTGATTGTGGAGCTAAAGACCATGAAGAAGAATCTGAGAGATTTCAAGTCCACACTGCAACATTTCGCTGATTCCATCCTTCTTAGGTTGCATCAGCAGAATGAGGTTCCTGAATAATACCAGAGTGGCCAAGGATGTGCATCCAAGACCTCCATGCTGCAAAGTTTGCCCTCATAAGTGTCATATTCTTCCATGATGGACAAATTGCCAAGCACACAGGGCTCAAGCTGTGGGGACTGGGAGCAGGAGAGCCTTTGAGTATAGCACAGCAGCTTGAATGACAAATAACTGAGAAAAGAAGTGTGCAAGAAGGAAAGCAGGTGACAGTCAAAGTGCTTGGTGAGGTGAAAGGCAGATGTAAGAGTCCTTCATCACCTAATAACTCTGGGTTACTGCAGGTGGACACTGAAACTTTGGACTTTAATTCTCTCCTTATTGTTGCTCCTTAGGTCCCACCAGACATAATCAGAAGTGAGCTCTACCAAGAGCTGCACACATTTACCAGCTAATCCACCACCATCTTAAAAAAGCCTGCTTAAAACTAACTGGAAAGAGAAGGTAGATTGAGCAACAGCCTCTCAGGGTGTTTGTGATGCCTATCTGCCTCTGGGTAAGGGGAGCAGAGAAAGAAAATCTCATGACTGCACATTGCAAGCTATGCCTGTGTTCATGGTTTACACTGCTTCAAGGCACATGGGTGGGGATCTGTGCCACCTGCTCTGTTCAAGAAGAATGACTGAACACATCCTGCTGCAGCCATTCATTTGTTTTCTGGTAAGAAAGTAGTCCATGGCAAACATGTCTGATTTTCAGTACAAAAAACTTCATCATCTGATTCAATAGACTTCCAAATAAAATTAGTTTTTCTGTACAGGGGAGGGAGGTGTCTGGTCTTCATCTTGGCAAGCTTTTGACTTCTCTGCATATAGCTGTGGATGAAGCTGAGGAATTATTTTTGCACTTGCTTATGAGAAGAACTGCATGGAGTTTAGGATAATCCCCTCACATGAGCTACTTTTGCCAAGAAAAAAATGAGAGAGTTGGATGCAAAGTCATGTGTCCTGGGTTTAATAACTCAAGTCTCAAATGACATCGTATTGGTTTAGTACAAATGAACCTGCACCTGAATTTGACTCCAAAGGAGGAAGCAAACTGCAGAAGATGCCTAAGTTATGCACATGAACAAGTAAAGAAAATGGAGCTCAACCCAGAACTTTCTTCCTTGCTCCCACTTATGGCATCCTCTGGCAGCAGACCATGGAAAGTGACCTGAGGGTGCCAAAGCAAGGATCCAGGATGGTCCTTATAGACACACCTACCCAAGACAACTTTGTACCAACACAGTGAATAATCTCTTCCACATTCTGGAGCACTGTAACCTCCCAGAAAAGTGGAGAAATTATCTGGGATGGGTCCAGGGATGGTAGAGGAAACTGGGCAAAAGCTTTTTACTCCTGGCACACTGGTTTCCCTTCCTCTGCTTTCCACCCTGACTGTTTGCTTTGATAGCTCAAGCCATTGTCTCTCCTCACTGGAAGTGTAGCCACTGTATTTCTATTTGCAGACTTCTGGATGCAAGTCCTTCACATGTCTGTTCCCAATTAGTTCTTCTCTTGCAAAGGAAGGGAGACAATATAATGAATACATCTATTTTGTGGAACACAGTTTTAATTGAAATGTTTGCTGCTGTTGCCACCATTGGATTAAGAGAGCAGATCTTCGATAACAAAGAGAGTTAGTTTGTATCTGCAGAATGCAAGTGAGAGGAGTAATTGGAAACTATAAAGAGAGAAAAAAAGAGATCACAACTCCAGCATTGCAAATGGGGAGAAAGTGCTGCACTGCTATTGTCACACGCTGTTGTCACATTTAATTAGATGCATGAAATAAAAGCAGCCCTCACTGTGAATGCTCCTGTCCTGCACTAAGGCTTGTATGTACACATTGTCCTCTGGTCTGGAAACAAGATCCACACTTGAAGAAAGTTCCTCTCCATATTGGAGAAATAAATTTGTGCTCAGACCTTCCAATGTTACTAACAGAAAGCTAAAAACATGCGCAAAAAACCCTGTTATGCCCTCCCCCAAAATAAAAACTCCATCCTGGCTTCCATGGCTTGCCACCTTGTGACTAGTGTATGTCCCTTCAGACTTTGTAGGATTTACACAACATGA